ATATATATATATATATATATATATATATATATATATATATATATATATATATATATATATATATATATATATATATATATATATATATATATATATATATATATATATATATATATATATATATATATATATATATATATATATATATATATATATATATATATATATATATATATATATATATATATATATATATATATATATATATATATATATATATATATATATATATATATATATATATATATATATATATATATATATATATATATATATAAATAATATGAGAGACTTGCTTTGTTTAGCAAATAAGTGGATCGAATTGGATTTACATTGTAAACTTTAAATAAAAGTTAAAAAGATTATATTTATACATATTATATATTTTATATATTGTTTTTAGTAATGATACTCGCAAAATCATTCCAAATAAATCCACATATTTTTATTTATTTTTTAAATTCTAAGCAGAAATAACAATAAATGCCCGCAGAATCTGTCTGGCCCAACCGATCACCGATAAATAACCGATATTTAAATGAATTCTGGATAATAAAAATATACATAAATATAAAATGTGCTACATTAAGGTAAATTAACATTGACAAGTTATTCAAATTACCCATTATTAAGTTGACACAAATGAAAGCATTGATAAAAAATGCAAACATGGAGAAGAAATGCAAAACTCAAAACTTGATAGTGCTTTATTATCATTATTATTATTATTGTTATTAAATCGTAAAACACCAAATTAAAATGATTTTAAATAAATAAGATTTAAGCTGCAGGTTATTTTTATTTAAAGCAAATATAGCAAATTTGCAAAGTGAGCAAATGTCGTGTCACAGGCTTTACAGTGCACATAACCTTCTGTCATTGCTTGACATTGCAGCCTGCCATTATCAATACGAATTGTCGTCAAAAAAGCAGGATGAAGGAGAAGGGACTAGCGAAGAGTGCTATTGCATAGGGAATGGGTCAGTCAGGATACAGTTCATGCATGGAGATCTTCTAACCAGCTGGAATTAAGCTAATCAGCTGGATTAAATAAAAGAGACATGCAAAATATGCAGGTTTGTGTGTCGCAAGCAACGGGATTGAAAAACGCTGCACTGAACTAACTTAGCTGACAGCTTCAGAAATAAACTATCAGAACTGATTTATTGTCAACAATTGGTGGACATCCAGTAAAAGAGAGCTCAAACTCACCCCATTATAATAAATGGACAAGCATCCAAGAGCATAGACCAGAAAAAAAGCCTGAAATGCAAAAAAAAAAGGCACTTATTAATAAAAGAAATGATTCAGCCGCCCACCCTGCATCTGCTCCTCAACTGATTTGCTTGTTCGCTAACAAGTTCATGTTTTGGATGTGTCCTAAATCACAGTGAGCTCCGGCTAGCACACACTCAGGGGGACGTCAGAGAAAGGTAAAACACACAGTCGGGATGATGAATTAAAGCACACACATTCCTCAAGCGCTTGTGATTGGACTCCAGGGTGTATTTGAGTGCAGGATGAGGAGATGTGCTGATATTAATGAGAGTCAGTGAGCGGGAGGATGAGTTAACACTCAGCGGAGGAGAAAAGACGTTCACAGCGTCTCCTGTGTGTCTGTTTAGATTGGCTCTGCGCAATGAAAGCAAACAGCTGCAACAATAAAAGCCTATTTATCTGCGAGCTGACGGATAAAGCAGGAGCAGGAGACCACACTGACGGGGAAAACACTGCAGAATTACCAACAGTGATGACTGAGAGGATTCAGAATGCTGAGAAATATGCTTCATTAATGATGTTTAAAGCAGGTAACGGGGTAAAAACCCTCTTGTTTACGTGTTCAACTGAAGAAAGAAACTTTTAATGGTTAACATTTACTTGATTATGAATAAACAGAGAGGAAATGACTGAACCATTCCCTTTAAATTAGCTAAATGTACAGCTAAAGTTAGAATTATTCGCCCCCCTGTTTATTTTTTTTCCCCAATTTCAGTTTAACAGAGAGCAGGGGCTGTTCTTCGTACGTGGATTACTCAGTTAGCTGGATTTGGATATTGACGATTTGACACGATCCAGGATCATTTCATTCTTCAAAGCTGATCTGAGAGTTGTTGTCATAGCAACAGTTCTGCTAGCTCAAACCTGATCGGGAGCAGGTTCAATTCATATAAACAGGATTAGATCGGCTCAGTTCAAGCAAAGATAATACAGAAAGTATGTTCCCAATTCTGATATTTTCTTACAGTAGTAGTTATATACACTTGGGAAAATGGTACATATTTTTTAACTATATATATAAAGTTATAGTCATTAATGAAATAAATTAAGTTATACATATTAATAAAACGTATGCAATCTGCACCCTCGAAATGAAAGTAAGCTACAAAGATTGCCACCTGCTGGTGCAAAGAGAAAACTTATTGATATGAACTTTTTAGATCGCTTTAGTACAAATGGTGCATAATAGAAATGCAGAATATGAGACTTTTTTAAAGCAATAATACATTTATGCAGTCATAAACATGTTTTGATAGTTAATATGACGGTGATTTGATGCTTCACAAAAGTTGCAGACGCCTTTACCAATATGAAAATGCTTTTGTAAACAACCAGTTATTCTTTATACACCGATTAAAAAACGGCTACTATAATATAGACAATATTTTCTAAATGTGGAACTAAATACATTGATTTGCATTGAAATACCTGATGAATACTCTCGACACATGAAAGTGTAAAGCCTGCAGCTCACAACAAATGTGGAAGGTTATTGCGTGTCATATTTAACAAAGACGTTTACTGCTAATTTGATGTAATTTTGCTCACATGGATAATTGAATATTAATCAGATGATGTCATTACGCTGCTGTGCAGTCAGCCAATCGTTGCATTGCTGATCATGATTTCGAGGATCGATAGATCTGTCCTTCACAACACAAGCAGCGATCTCAGATCAGTTCATCCAGACATTCTAATCTGATTCACGAACTCGTTTGAAGAACCAAATTAGCGAGAGATCAGTTATCAAGATTAAAAGATCCAGGATCTGCCAAATCATCTTAGATCATTTAAGCGAGGTACGAAGAACAGACCCCAGATTTCTCCAAGATCTAATCATAATAGTGTTAATAACTCATCTTTAATCACCGAGTTATTTTCTCTTTGTCATCCAGCATAGGTTTTACACAGCGGATGCCCTTCCAGCTGCAACCCATCTCTGGGAAACACCCACACACACTCATTCACATTCATACACTACAAACAATTTAGCTTACTCAATTCACCTGCACCGCATGTCTTTAGACTGTGGGGGAAACCAGAGCACCCGGAGGACATCCACACGAACACAGGGAGAACATGCAAACTCCACACAGAAACACCAACTGAGCCGAGGCTCAAACCTGCGGCCATCTTGCTGTGAGGCGACAGCACTACCTACTGCGCCACTGTGTCGCCATCACGTCCTCCTCACACATGCAGGCTGATGCTCACTCACCTCTTCATAACTGAGCTGCAGGTACTCAAGCATGGGGAACGGGTTGATTCTGCACACCAGCTCAGCCGGCTGATCCTGTCCAGAGGAAACGATTATCTTTAATCATCTCTCCATTTACAACAGTGTGCTCTCGAACAAGACAGAGTTGAGTCAATGTAAAGGATAGTGTACATCTAGCCGGCTGTTCTCTTCCATCTTCAGCCTTACACCAAGGATGCTGATAAACCTGTCCAGCTTTATTCTGCGATAACAGCCGGCTGGATGTACATTATCCCGATTATTACACGCCTGCTTACCACAAAAGTAAACAGTTGGCAAATAACTTTCTCCAATTGAATGAAAACAAGTGCGAATTCATTGTTGTTGGCCAAAAAGGTTCAGATTCTAATGGCAATCTGTCATTGCTTCCTGGGAAAATACATTCCTCTGTGAAGAGTCTTGGTGTCATCTTTGAGTCTGAGCTAAAGTTTGATCTGCAAATTAACGCGGTTGTCAAAAATAGTTTTTTTCTATTTTAGATATATTGCCAAGCTGAAGTCTGTCCTCTCTTTCAGTGATTTGGAGAAGGTTGTTCATGCTTTTATTTCTTCTCGTCTGGACTATTGCAATGCATTGTATCTGGGTGTGAGTCAGGCCTCTCTCTCGCGACTGCAGCTAGTCCAGAATGCAGCTGCCAGGCTTTTAACAGGCACAAAAAGACGAGAGCACATTACACCTGTACTTGTTTCCCTACACTGGCAGCCAGTCTAGTTTGGAATTCAGTACAAGGTTCTGTTGTACGTTTATAAATCCCTCCATGGCCTGGCCTGAGTTTATTTCTGAGCTTAATATTATGCACCAACCCGTGAGATCTCATCGCTCTATGGATCGTCTCTATATGCAAGTTCCTAGATCACACTTAAAATGTGGAGGTGATAGAGCTTTCTCGGTAGCAGCTCCGAGACTCTGGAACGATCTCCCACTCTCTTTAAGAACAGCTCAAACTTTTGAGTCTATTCAGAGGTCACTGAAAACACTTATTTTCTTTAGCTTTTGATCTTGTGATGCGAGTTTATGTATTTTGGTTTAATGTATATTTTACATGCGTTTTATGTGTTTTATGAACAGCACTTTGGTAATCATTGGGATTTGTGAAAGTGCTATAGAAATAAAGTGAGTTGAGTAGACATAAAACATTGATCAATTTACTACTTATTTAAGTAAAAAATAAACCCTGCAGAATTAAAAACAGCTACAATAACCTAATATTTATTATTATTATTGTGAATACAATTAAATGACAAATGACAGCCATCAGTCAAAAACAGCAGAAAGACTGACAAGCATAAATATTTTAAACTAAATATAGGTATAAATCAGGGCTCCAAAAAACTGGGGGAAATATGCAATAATTATAT